AGTTTAGCGAGATAAGCGAGCTTACATTTACGGTGGTTCTACGCCTCTGTGTATTTAACGCGTTTATCTAATTATTTATCCGTTAGTATAGCTAGGTTAACGTCTACGTGCGGGGGCAGATTAGGGTTACACGCCTATCCCGTCGTGGTTATAGGAGGAACGGGAACGGTAATAGGGACAGAGGCAGTGGCAGAGGTAATACTAGCGATAGGAGCAGGTATAGGGGTAGGGATAGGTGCCGATACGGTAGTAGGTACGGGAGCCGTGTTAGTTCCCGGCGTATCCCCGTTATCTCCCTTATCGGCGTCCTCTATAAAGGCGGTTTCGCTATCGCGGAGTTATCGCTCGAACTAACTAATAGCCTCGTCGAAATCGAAGGTAGGATCGTTTATTTCGTGATAGTTAGATATCTTAGTGACTCTCCTTAACGGTCTTCGCGCCCTTAGAGGGTAGAGCGATTAAAATATTAAATAGGTAGTCGTAAAGAGTAAAAAGATAGGGTTAAGTAAGGAACTAGGGAGAATTATAATAAGATTATAATAGGGTTAAATATAGATATAGCTAAAGAGTTAGATTAATCGCTGGCCTCCCTTCTTTAAAGGGGAGGCTCCCTCGCTCCTTAAGACTATGCTCTACTCCTCGAGGGCTGCTTATTTGCTTCCTCGAGGGCTGCCTTATTTGCTTCCTCGAGGGCTGCCTTATTTGCTTCGAGGGACTATTCTATTTACTATGTGATAACTTGCTTTATTTATGCCTCGAGGGGTCTTAGAATAGGCACACCTAGACCCCTATGGGTTCGTACTGGGGACCTATTATAACCACTGCTACAGGCACCTGACATAGATATACTTAGCTAACTTAAATTATAGTCCGCTCGCTGCCTTTTAGTCTAGGTAAGTATTTTATACGGTGGCGAGGCAGTATTATATTTATACTTTTATTTCTCTAAAAGTGATAATATTCGTATTATTAGTAAACCCCGCTATTATCGTTTTCGGAATCCTCTTTACTTCGCTATAAAGGGTAGAGATATATAGAATAAAAAGGATAAGGGAGATCGGGGAGTCTTATAGGACGCCCTTATAGAGCTGCTAAGGGGGGGGGGGGTCATTTCGCTGTTATTTCAGAGGTATTCGTCCTAATATCTCTTAGTTAGTGACTTCTAGGCGGCGTTCGTCGGCTTAAGGTGCGTCTTAAGGGTATATAGTATATCCCTTACTTCCAATTTACCGGTATACTAATTTTTTAAGGCAAGGCTAACGGTTTTAGCGATATAATCGTATAGAGTAATAAGACCGTGTTATTACTAATAATAGCGATTCTTTTTAACCTGCTATAGCTTAAAGGCATAATCCTACGTAAATTCTACGTCATTAGTTAGCTTTAGAGGATCTATTAATTCGTATTATTATAGTTATTTAGATTCTTCGACGTTAGGTGTAATAAGATCGGCGATATTATAGGTGTGCGCGAGAGTCCTCACGGCTTTAATCTAAGAGCGCTAGTCTTTTAATAAGGTAAGCGTCACAAGGCCTATACTAGGCACTGCTACCGTGGAAGCTATTATTATACTAATAAAAAGTAGTGGAATAGAATAAACAGATATAGGTTAATTAACTAAACTAAATGCTTTAAAAAATAATATAATAGAAAACGATAAAGCGATTAAATAAAATAAAAGCAGGCGGACGTTACTTGCAGAACAGCTCTAGCCGTAATAGGCTTACGGCTTTAAAATAGGATATCTGTCTTAAAGCTATTAGATTAATCGGAATAAAGTCAGTTTACTAAAGCGCCGAGCTTATAACTATCAGAATATAAATAAAGTACGGAATTATAGATATATATATATATTCATCTAGGTAAAGTTTATAATACTTTATAGGGATATCTAAGTATAGGGGAAATACCTATAGATTTATAGAATCGAGGTACTCCACACGTCTGACGTAATATGCTTTGTCACACCTCGATAAGCTGGCTGAGGGCATCTGACATAAGGTGTCAGCACATAAATAAGGTACGCAAAAGATGTGTGTGTGTATTGAAGAAAAGTAAAAGATACTCTGCGGAAATGTCTAACTATGAAGTAAAAGGAGGGGAAATTGATGTGGATATATCGGTCGGAAGTACCCTATCCGTCTACAGAAATGGCGTAAGTCATACCCCGATAAGGTGGCTGTAGGTATCTGACACACCCCCCTAGAACTGCAGGATTAATCCTGACTGTTCTGCTTAATTAAAGCCGTAAATCTAGGGTAAAATAGAGGTCTAGATATTAATCCACCGGTTGAACGGCTTATTAAACAACGCGCTCTTTTTGTGCCTAAAAACGTAAAAAACGTGTAAAAACAGGTGGTCAAATTGACCCCATAATAACGTTAAAACGTTAAAAATGGGTGCCCAAATAATAATCTAAAGGGCACTAAAACAACGGTTAATCTGGGCTATAGATTATAAACTCAGTATAGCGCCTCTTATGAATTGCCTTAAGCCCCCTGGCTTAGGACCTCTATCCCTAACAGATGTACTAACGCCTTATATTTCTTTTTCGCTATGGCGGTACTTTAGTTAGCCCACTGCTAACTATCTCGTTCGTGGAGATCTAATTAATCAGGACCTTCTTGTCTATCGTATAAGGAGGGAGGTTAACGATTACGTGAGGGTCTCCCTATAGAAGTAGGCGTTTAAGAGATTAGCTATAAAGCAGGAATAGCAGTAGTAGTAGTGGTATTTATCTTAGCTGCGTGTGGATTAGTAGATTAAGGAGTAGTGGTATCGTTTATAGCCTCGCCTATGGCTTTATTAAAGGTATCGCCAGTATCGTTAATTTAGTCCGAGGTGCTCCTCATAGCGCTGGGCGTAGGAGGATCGTCAGGCGCCTATAGTAGCGTTAGAGGTGTAACAACGGGCGTTATTTTTAAAGAAGAAGAGGTTATTAAAGAGGGGAAAATTAGTGCCGTTATTAAAGAGGTAAAATTAATAGTTAAAGAGGGTAAATCAACGGCAGGCATAACGGCAGGCACTATACCTGCCGCGGTCGTGGCAGCCGTTCCACGTGATGCCTCTTAGTTAGTAACCTATTAGGTTTTAAAGGCGTTTTCGGTGGTTTTTAATCTTCCACTATCTACCACCCCCCTAGATATCGACGATTAAGGTTATTATTAACGCTGTTAATAACGCCTTTCCTCTTATAACGCCTTTATCGTGGAGTTCTATCGCTCTAGCTACTACCGTAGGCTTTGAAGTAAACCCTTAGTTAAAGAGGCCACCTCTTTACTTATAAAATTTAAGGCATTTAATACCACCTCTTCGCCTATAAAATAAGAGGCAAAATACATATCGTAAGCCCGATCGTCAGAATCCTTAGACTATTCGGCAGTAAAATTAGATACTTCCTTAGACTAATTCTTCTCTTATAACTTAGCTTTTACCTGCCTTTTCGCCTTATCGACGTCCTTTTTAATATCCTCCCGGAATCTCTTTTAGCGACCTTTATCCTAGGACTTAATAATACGGTCGTAGCGTTCTACCACCTCCTTCGAAGGCGTAAAGCCCTCCTAGCGGCGCGTGGGGTTAACGTTCGGGTAGTTCTGCCACGGAGCGTAGTAGCGATCGTTCCTTCCTATCTTAACGTAATCGCAGATCCATTCCTGCGTTACTATTATTAAAGAAGAAGCCTCCTTTCCTTATTACTACTAACCTCCCTAACCAGCAGGCTGCTATCTGCCTTCTTTATCCTTTCCTAGAAATATCGCCGTATAAAATAATAACGCAGTAGGCTTTATATTAAGCCTACAGGGATACCTATAGCGTAACTAAACCGTATATTCGTTTATAACCTCCACGATAGTAGGTTAGTCTTCCTTATCTTCCCTTAAAATCTCTATAAAGCGCGGTTCTAACTAGTCCGGAGCTATAGTGCCTATAGCCCTAAAAAACGCATTAAGCTAGTCCTCTTTCCTATTAGAGGATCTAACGCTATAGGTCTTTGAATCTCGGTATAGCGATATAAAGTCCTGAAGCTAACGCTCGTGGGGTATCCTCCGTATATTTTATATATATTCTTCCTATTATCGTTTGATTAGTGACTTCTAGGCAGCGTTAGTAGGTTTAAGATAGTCCTTTAAGGCGATTAGGATATCTTTGACCTCCTTCTTCCCTGCGTACTAATCTTTGAGGTTATGATTAACTGTCTTCGCGATATAGTCGTGAAGAGTAGCTAGACCTCGTTACTATTACTGATATCTGTTTTCTTTTACGTTTTATAGCTTAAACTTACGATCCTAGGTATTATTATCTTCTTCCATTAGCTTTAGAGGTTCCGAGGATTCGAGTCTTCGAGGACGTTTAGATTCCTCGAGGTCTAGATTAATAAGGTTAGATACCTGGTTAGCGTAGGCTATCTGTATAATAGCCTCGATCCACTAACGCCACTGTTTTGGTGAGGTGAGGATCGTATAGCCTATCGTGGGCATTACCGTAACTAAGGCCATCGTCTAACTGACTAGGACTATAGGGAAATAAACTATCGGAACCGACTACGAGGGAACGGGACGATTAAAAGGAATGATTAAATAGAGCGATTAAGCGATTAAGTGCTTGATCGATTAAAAAGGAGCGATTAAGCAATTAATTGCTTATTCGTTTAATTGAAAAGCAGGCGGACGTAGCTAATAATACTAAACTAACCGCTATAGAATTAAAGCTATTGATTATCTTAAAGCTGTAGGATCTCTCGGAATAGCTTCGTTTATTAGAACGCCGGGCTTATAACTGTTAGCACATAAATAAGGTACGCAAAAGATGTGTGTGTGCATTGAAGAAGAGTAAAAGATACTCTGCGGAAATATCTAACTATAAAGTAAAAGGAGGGGAAATTGATGTGGATACATCGGTCGGAAGTACCCCATCCGTCTACAGAAATGGCGCAAGTCACACCCCGATAAGGTGGCTGTAGGCATCTGACATAAGGAGTAGAACGTCCAAGCTCCCTAACCCTGGGGGGCCTTTCTCTCAGAACATGAGTTTACGTGGGGAGTTATCCTCCTGCCATTCGCCTATACCACAAGGAACGAATTCCGTCCTTACGATATTGACGACAACCCGAAGCTGGTTTCACCAGTACTAATCTATACATCCTGGCCATATTGACAGCCGTTGCCTTTATCCACCAGATATACAAACTGCCCAGATAAGATGCGTCCACGGTCACTCAATTCGTCAATGCGGCGTCGCCGGCGACGGCTTGGGGTTTGGAGGGATGACTCCGATGACGAGCTCGGCACTCTGGATGTTCCTTGGGAATGGATATATGACACGAAGGACGCACCGAGTTCAAGAGGCAATAAGATCATTGGCGCTCAGTTCGGCAGGTTCCGCTGCTTCATTGGCGACTGTGTTCTATTAAAGGCAGAGGGCTCTCACGAAGCTTGGGTCGCTATTATTTGCCAGTTTCTTGAAGATGACGATGGCCAGAAGGCCGCAGAATTCATGTGGTTTTCAACCGAACCAGAAATTCGCAACAAGTATAGAAAACGAACCGATTCCCTGCTGGTAGGTTTTATACCTGGCCGGGCATATCCGCAATGATGGTATTGCTTACCATACAGAATGAACTCTACATCACACCCTCGTGGGATGTCAATCCACTTGCGGCAATCAACGGCAAGGCCACTGTCATGTCTCCAGAAGTCTTCGCGGAAAGTTACCCTACCGGGAAAGCGCCGCGCTTCTCCAAGGTTTTCGTCTGTCGTCGCGGATGCAACACGAGGACGGCTACGTATACGGACGAGTTTGTTTGGGAGGAACTGTATAAGGGGTCAGAGGATGATCTTTCTCGGTTAATTGACTTTGTGAAGTCTAATACGAAGTCAACCCGGACACGCCCCTCATCGAGGAAACTTTCTCCTGATGCCGAGTCTGCGTTTGAAGAGGACGGGTCTAACATTGAAAGCTCAACGCCGAGAAACTCAAGCACAAGAATATCAACACCGAAATCTAAATCTCGGACGATCACCACGCCATCTTCGCGCAAGCGGTACGTTTTCTACGTTCCTGTGACAAACCGTGCCCGGTAAATTGCTCATAGTTGCTGCAGTATCCTTGTCAAAAACCCTCTTGCGTTCACTCCCTTGGCTACCCGGAGACTGACACAGAACGAGTTCTCACCGTTCCAGCTGGCTTGCTCTCGCCTCCATGTTGCGGCCGTGCCTTCAAGCCTACCTTGTCGTGAGCAGGAATTCTCGTCCGTTTACTCTCACCTCGAGGCTGCAATTGCAGAGGGTACAGGCAGCTGCATCTACATAGCCGGAACTCCTGGAACGGGCAAGACGGCTACTGTTCGAGAGGCAATCGCGCAGCTCGAACGGTGCGTTTTGTCTGACGAGTTGGATGATTTCATATTTGTCGAGATTAACGGCATGAAAATAGCAGAACCCCAACAGGCGTATAGTCTCCTGTGGGAAGCTCTCAAAGCCGAGCGCGTCAGCCCTGTTCAGGCACTGGATCTCCTCGAGCGAGAGTTCAGCCACCCAACTCCACGACGTATACCATGCGTGGTATTGATGGATGAACTGGACCAACTTGTAACGAGGAACCAGAGTGTCATGTACAACTTCTTCAATTGGCCAGCTCTCCCACACAGCAGACTCATCGTGCTTGCTGTTGCTAATACTATGGATCTTCCGGAAAGGACATTGAGTAATAAGATCAGTAGTCGCCTAGGTGGGTTGTGTTCGCTCGCGAAAACGTCTGGCTCTCAAGACGAGAATTGGTTCAACACTGGTACTAACTAGCGCTTAGGCCTTACAAGAATAACGTTTCCGGGATACACCCACGAGCAATTGATGAAGATCATAGAATCAAGGCTAGACGGCATTCCGGGCAATGTCGTGGAGCCTGACGCCACACAGTTCGCCAGCCGAAAGGTCGCCGCCGTCAGCGGTGATGCCAGAAGGGCGCTCGATATTTGTAGGAGAGCCGTCGAACTCGCCGAGGCGCGCTTCGAAGCCGAAATGTCCACACCCAGCCACAAAAGACGTCAGCTGGACAGCCAGGAAATTCGAAGCCGCGAAAACGGATACAATCGAGTGACCATCGCAACCATTAAACGCGCGATCTTTGAGGCCACATCCAACCCCATCCAGCAGTACCTGCGGACTCTACCGCTGAGCCACAGAGTGCTACTTGCGGCGCTTCTCCTCAAGATGCAAAGGAATGGGACGGGAGAAGCAACCTTTGCGGATGTAGTAAGTGGAGCAGAGCGAATGATCAAGCCGGGGCTTGGACCTCCGGGCATCACCATACACGACTCCATGAAAGGCCCCACGCCGCTTCTTATCCATAACCGCCCCAGCGCCGATCTCGCAGTAGCGGAGGACATGGGCCTCCAGTCTTGTGCTATTGACTTGGCCAGCGCTGGAATCATAGTCCTAGAGGCGCAAGTGGCCGAAAGACCAGGGAAGGTGCGGCTGGCAGTAGGAGAAGAGGATATTAGGATGGCCTTCCGAGACGACGCAGATATGAATGCGTTGGGCATTGTAATCTAGAATTCCATACCAACAGCCTCCAGTGGACCGAACCTCCTTTGTCCAGCCCAAAAGTCGGAAAGAGCGGATTTTCGTCCGCCGCTTGAGGTCCGACAACCCACCTTCCTGTGCCGTAATGACAACATGGACCGTCCATTTCAAAATCTTCGTCTTGTTAGAGAGGGTTGCCATGTCAAAGGATGCGTCTCTGGTGTAGCTTGTTCGTCTGGTTTCCAGATTTTTACTGTACCCGATTTGACAGTGAGTAATAATATTTCCGTGAATAGAAGGGGTAAACTGACTTGTCTTATCCGCCTCGCCACAAATCAACCGCAGTCCGGAACGGTCGAAGGTCGAGCTCATTATCCCGGCCTCGGCATCAAGCGAGCCCGGTTGCGCTGTGGTGTCGACAGACTGGAACCGGTACCCGGTTTTCCAATCCCAGAAGCTCATAGAGCCATTGTCCCCTAGCCGACCAGAGTTAGAAGAGCTCGAGTGTGGGGAAAGGATCGCAATATACACTAACCGCCCGAAAAGAAGACATTTTCCTGGTTGACGCTCAGAGTATTGATGATGGCGTTATGGCCCTCGAAGTTTTGCATGAAGGCACCTTCAGGACACTTCCACTGCTTGATGCTCCCTGTACTGCCGGTTGCGAATGTGAACTCATTCGGGTGTATAGCCAGAGCCCTCACCCCTTTCTTGTGATGGGTCAAGACACCCATAGTCTTACCCGCAGCCAAGTCCCAGAGCCTCACGGTGGAATCGAGGGAGGCGGTGACAACTTGGGGGTCAACTTCCTGGCATTTTACATCCGATACAGTTGCCGTATGGCCTGATAGTACGTGGATGTTGCTCCTAGTGCGCATATCCCAGACCCGGGCTACGCCGTCACGCCCACCCGTGACCAGCACGTCAAGAGTAGGGTGGAGGGAAAGCGTGTACACGCCACTCAGGTGACCATGGTAATGGCGGATCACCTTGTTTGTCTCAAGATCCCAGCACTTGACCATCTTATCCTCCCCACAGGAGAATATGTATGGGTGGCGAGGACTAACAGCAAGACCACGGACTGTAGATATGTGGCCGGTTAGTGTTAGCCGCAGGGACCCTGTGGCCAAGTCCCAGATCTTGATGGTGCGATCTCCCGCTCCGCTAGCGAACCATTTGTTTCCTGGTTCCACCGCAAGGCACCTAACCCAGCCTAGATGGCCGGAGATGACTCTCATCAGTTTCCAGGGCGGATGCCATTGCGGCCTACTGGATGTTGCAACGGACGTCTGCGAGACAGGGTCGACGTTCCCGAAGGGGCGCACAAGTGTGTCGGAGAAGTGAGAACCTGCGGTTGTAGGAGAAGCAGCGGCGGGACCTTCTAGAAGTTTGACTGTTTTTTGTCGTCGGGCCTGCGACGGTGTTCTTTGCAGTGCAGTTGGAGCCCGCGCTTCGCCCATTGGAGGAAGTCTGGCCGCGATGGATTCAGGGAGGGTTCGGACGCTGGCATATTCAAGAAGGTAACGATGATCGGTATCCTGGTTATCATCGAGTGACTGATTGTGTACTGTGTCGGTCGTCCGTTTGGCTAATGGCGCATCCCCTGAGCAGAATATTGACTGTGCTGTTCGCAAATTTTCTTCCAGGAGAGACCCCAAGCAGGGACCTGGTGGTCGCTCGGGCTTGACAGTTTCAGACATGATTTCTCGGGGATTGCAAGATGACCTAGTCGGACCAGCTCGTGCAAATGTCGTGTAAGATAGTAGCTAGCTAGGAGCTTTTAAATGCGGATGATGTTGAGAATTCGGAATCCACATTATCTGTTGTCAGATGTGTCGCATTGGCACGAGCCTCGGGGGTGGGCACAGGCCTCGGGGGTGGAAATGACAAGGGTGGACCCACGGTAAAATACTGGATAGGATCCAAATAGAGTAGTATTTCCGGAGGAGTACCGCCCCTTATAAAAATAGGGCAAACGGTCACGTACACGTTATAACTTAATATAATACATACACGCGAAGATTTCCCCGAAGTCAGAAAAGTCAGAAGAGTGTATTTTAACGTGCGATAGTTATAAGCCCGGTTTATAACGCTTAAAGCTATTTAATATCTTCTATACCTTTAAGCTATCTTTCTTACCCTTCTATTATAAAAGCAACTACGTTATAAGCACCTCTTCTTTAATTAACCTCTTCGCTTAAGTAATAGAAGATATCCTCTAATATTCACTGCGATTAATAAATCCTAACCCTAACCACCTAGAAAGACTGGATTATATAGGAATATAGTATCTGCGGGAAGTTCTCCTCTCTTTAGAATAATTACCTTAATTCTTAACTGGATAATAACGAAGCAGAAGCCTCCTTACTACCTAAGCCTACGCCTCCTAATATACGTAAGTACGAAGCCGAAAAGGGCGTTAAGCCTTAGTTAATTAACGACCTCTTAGATTAAGGTAGGGTTTATTACCTTCAAAGCCGCCGCGTATATCGCGAAGAAAAGGCCGACTACGATAATCAGGAATAAGAACTTAATACCCTACGCTCCTATATCCTAGCTATAATCTATATCCCTCTTAGCGACCTTCTTAGAGCGTTATAAGAAGATTAAGCGAATAATATAAGGGCGTGGATTACTACCCTTTATAAGCACGTAGCTTCCACGCCTATAGATTAACGCCGTAAGGCTCCACGTTAATATTATTAGCTTATTAAGCCGTTAAAGACTATTCCTATAGATATAGATAGGTAGATTACTAATTAGAAGGCTACCCTAATAGGATACTAACACGCTAGGGTTATTATTATAGGCTATAGCCCGCGGAATAGTTCCCGGCAGTGGCCGGGACTAAGAAGCACGGACCTCCTAGCGACGCCCGTACGATTCTATATATACTTAGCCGTCTATACACCGCTTAGACTTTTCCCTTCCTCCTTTCCTTCCTTAATTCGAATAATCTATATTTTCGGCCTTAATACATAAATAACTTTTAATAAGCTGTTATATATTCGAACTTATAAGACTATAAGCTTTAACGCTTATATAGAAGGAGGTCCCGGTCACTTCGCCCCAAGCCTACTAAGGGGCTAAGGGTAAGTCGTAGGGACCTCGTATAATAAGATTAATAAACGCGTATTATAACGCGTATAAAAAGCGGTAAGGATATATATCGCCCCTATTTATAATATAATCGCTAGCTTATAAGTAGCCTTTAAAAGGTCTTAACTTAACCCGCACCTCGTACCTACTACACACCCGATACCTACCCTAGTCGTCACGCCCTTACCCTTATCTAGGCTATTAAAGGCAAAGACTGCTATACCTATTCCGCTACCGCCGCCGGCACCTATACTCTTATACCGGGTATAGCAGGTCGCCGTTCCCGTAAAATTCAGTAGAAAATATATAGAATACACCGCCTAATCCTAGACTATACGACTAAAACTTAAACTCGATAGGCCGTTATTCCGTAATAATAAGGAGGTATAGTACTTAATGAACACGTGCTTAGATACCTAGCCTTAGCAGGTAGTTAGCACCTTCTTCGGTAACGGAGGCACGAATAGTGAATTTAACCCGGAGGAATTTATAGCCTACCTTAACCGCACGTATAAGGACCGTAACGAATAAGGTCGCGCCACTAACGCCCTTAAAGCGATAAAGTAAAAACCTAATTAGCCGTTCGCGCGCTTCCTACTAACTTTTAAAAGGAGCCTAGCTTAAGTAGGAGGCCACGACTAAGTAGACTATATTAAGATATTATTCCTCGATAACGCCCTAAATAACGGGCTATATAATAGCCTAGTAGTAGCTAACCTCCTCGATACCTACTCCGAGTAGGTCGATAAAGTATAGACGATCGCGTAGAGATAGGAAGGTATTAGTACGTCGTACCGACTAATTCCTATCGCCCGTAAACTAGCTAAGGACGCTAATAGCGATATCGCTATAAGTAGGGTTAATAAGGTTCGCGAGTCTAAGGGGACCTAATAAAAACCTAACCGCTACACGAATATTATATATTAGAATTACTAAAAGAAAGGCCACGTTTAATAGTACTATAAAAGTAAGAAGGATACGGTAGCCCGAATATCCCCTTAAGAGGAGGAACCCGAAAACGTTCCCGAGGATACCGAAGACTCGGAAAAAGTATAGCTCTAATACGAAATCGGGCACCGGAGCCGATAGCGCGAGAGTAACACGAGTAGGAGGAGTTTAAACCGCTACTATAAAGCGAGTTAGTATTAATCTAAGTAAGAGTTAATAGTAGTAGGTTAATAAACGCTTTTATAGATACGGGTTATAACTACTATACCGCCGTGAATAAGACGTTTACTTAGAAAATACGCTTACCGTTAATCGATAAAAAGACATAACTACTAAAAGGCTTCTCGGATAAGACTAAACCGGCTAGTAACGCCGGTATTATAGTCTTTACGCTAAATATATAAGGGTATACCGAGCGCGTTTTCGTGTATATAATACTAGGTCTAGACTAGGACCTTTTCCTTAGGCTTTTATAGATAGAATATAATAATATAGTCCTCTATGCTAAAGAATAAAGGCTCCGCTATAGAGTAGCCGATATCGATATCCGACTCTAGGGCGAAAAGGAGCCGAAGGCAGTATAAAAGATCCGTACTATAGCACTAATAACGGGGTCCGTATTTGTAGGGCTATATAGATAACTATAGCACCGGAAGGGAAAAAGATAGGAAAAGGATTTATAGGCTCTATCGCTAAAGGATATCGAAAAGGCCTTAAACACGAAGGAACTAGTAAACCCGCGAGAATATATCCCCGAGAGTATTATATAAGAGTTCGGCGACTTATTTACGCCCTCGCACTCTATACGCCTACTCCTATACCGACCTAGCGCCGACTATAAGGTCTACTTATAAAAGGATAGTAGTAATAACGAATAAACCTTACTATAGGGCCTACTCTATAATATATCACGTGAAGAGCTCCTTATATTATAGACGATACTAACGGATCTAATAAATAAAGGATTTATTCGTGCGAGTAGCTCGGCTACCTCTATGCCTATACTATTTATAAGGAAGCTAGGAGGCGGCCTCCGATTTTACTACGACTACTACGCCCTAAATACGATTTCTTAGTAAGATCGCTACCCACTCCCCCTAATTATAGAAACCCTATATAACCTAGCTAAAGCGAAATAGTTTCCTAAATTAAACATCGTCGCCGCCTTCTATAAGATACGAATAATAGCCGGGTATAAGTATAAGACCGTATTCTGTACTGGGTTTAGACTATTTAAATAGCTAGTATACCCTTTTAGGTTAACCGGCGCGCCTATAATATTCTAACGATATATTAACTCCTCGCTATAGGAGTTCCTTAACGATTTTATCTCCGCGTATATAGACGATATCTTAGTTTACTTAAACGGATCTAATAAGGACTATAAGGAGAAGGTATAGCGAGTACTTAGTACCCTCGTAAACGCTAGGCTAAACCTTAACCCGAAGAAGTACGAGTTTAGCGTTAATATAGTTAAATACTTAGGGTTTATCGTTACGGCGGAAAAAGGGGTATCTTATAACCCCGAGAAACTAAAGGCTATTATAGAATAGGAAGCGCTAGTCTCTACGACTAAAGTATAAAGTTTCCTAGGGTTCGCTAACTTCTATAGGATATTTATCCACGACTTTATAGCTATTACGGCGCCACTTACGGCCCTAATAAAGAAAAACGCCCTATTCTACTAGGGCCCCTTATAAAAGGCAGCCTTTAAGGAACTAAAGCAGAGGTTCTAGGAAAAGCCTTACCTTTAATAATAGTAACCCGGAAAGAAGACCTAGCTAGAAACGGATTATTTAGGGTTCGCGCTAGATAGCGTATTTTTATAGGAAGACGAATAAGGATATAAGTACGTTATTGTATACTACTTACGCCGACTTAACTCCGCCGACTATAACTACCCGATTCACGATAAGGAGATACTAATAATTATAGACTACCTATAAGCTTAGAAAGCCGAGCTTATAGGCAGCGGCCGGTTTTAGATTTACTCCGATTATAAAGCGCTTAGATACTTTATAATAAAAAGGGCCCTAACCGAGCGCTAAAGTCGCTAAGCTACTAAGCTCGCCTAGTATAACTTCGTATTAGAGTATAGGCGAGGGGCTAATAATATCGCGGCTAACGCGCTCTTATATCGAGAATAGGACACGCCTAAGGATACTTCCGATATCTAAGAGTAGGGGAGGTATATCTAGATAATCCCCGATATAGCTATCTCCCCCTAAGTATACCTAGTAAAAGTAACATTACTAAAGCTAATTATAGTCTTCGAAGTAAACCCCGACCTATAGCGATTATAAGATAAAGCCAGGGCCACCGATAAGCGTTATTAAGGTACCCTTACCGTAATAGTAGCGGGAGAATAGAGTTTTCCCCCTAAGCTAAAGCTTAAAATATAGATCGCTAAGTATAGAATCGACCAAGGACGGCTAATATTTCGTAACCGCCTATAAGTGCTAGGGGATAGCGAAGATAGGGCTAACTACCCGCTATAAGGCCGTCTTATATAAGCGATTCACGACTTAGTAGTCGGCGGACACCTAGGTAAGGATAATACTATTACCCTAATCGCCCGCTAATTCTTCTAGCTCGGTATAAATCAAGATATTAAAAGGTTTATACGGAACTACGATATATACTAAGCTAGCCA